TTCAGACAAGAACTAAAAAATTATTTTTTTAACTACCTCTTTTTCATAATAGTTGCTATATTTGTATTTTCATATGTTAAATAGAACCATAATTATGGGACAGAGCTTCTATATTTTCCAACTTTGTCCTGGTTGCTAAATTTGAATACATTTTTTATACACAAAATGGAATTACTATTGTGGGACAGAGGTAGTTCTATTTTGAATAATAAATGCTTGATAATTATTGATTAAAAACCCCCAAAAAACTAACAATAAATTATGAGGTAGAAAATAAGAGTCATCATAAGACTGTGGATCAATAAGTCTATCACAGGATACATGGTATTTAGTTGAATTTTGATGTAAAATTTTCACTGTAAAATTTCCTTTCTGCATGGTTAATATTCACCATTGAATTAAATCCATTGACAAAAAAGTAAATTATGCTGAAAACATATTTGTTTTGTCAATAAATGCACTTTTATATGAATTTTTAAAAATATCTACTAAAATACCTATGACATATCATATAATCAGGGTAGTAGCACCTGTTAGGGTCCTTGTTATGGGCAAGAAGTTAACCTCCAAACTGAGTTCAAAACACCATGAAAGTACAAAATGGATTTTTATAGTAAAAATACCAGTAATATATATTGAAAAAAATATTAGTACATATTCTATTCATACAAACCTATGCTAAAAATCTTGTCAGCATTAAATAACCCACTGGGGTTGATATACTGTAAAACAAAATAAGCTAAACCCTATCATATAATAAAGAAAAAGTTATATTTATTTAGAATAAAAAGCCTGGGATTCTGTTCTATATGGGAGCAACATTTTTATTATTGAAACAAGAGAGTTGAAAATAAATATTTGGTGAGTGAAATCAAGAAATAAAAATATAAACCTGAAATTTTCTTTTTCTTGTATAGGCTCTTTTAACAATATAAGAAAAAAAAAATTTTTTATTATATTTGACTTTTACAGAAAGATGGAATTGTCTTGCTTTTAAACCAACCAAGTATTAAAAGGTTTTGCTTTTGGATTGTTTGAAATAGGAAATTTTTGAACATTTACTAAAGGTTATAACCCTGAAAATGAGTAAACCTTTCTCATATATAAAAATTCATAAAATTTGTTAAATGCTAAAATTAACAAAGAAAGGAAAATATAAAATTGTCAAATTTTAAAAAAGGCCCATGGAAATATATGTATAAATATATATATTGTGTGTGTAAAATCTATGAAACCCAGTTTGTTAAAAAAAATGAAATATCTAAAAAATTTATAAGACATATTTAGAAATATGTGGATATTTGAAAATGGCATAAAAATGTGAAAGTTGAAAATGTACAAAAAAACTGCGAAAATGAAGCAAAAAAAATGATTTCAAAAAGCCACATCTGAAAGAAATGTATGGAAACACCTCAGGGTAAAAACTAAAGAAATAAAAATCCACTTCCTAAAATATTTGTGTGAATAATGCACATGCTGTGCATTCTGAGAAAATAATATTTTGATGGTTAAACCAGTATTGCATAGTTAAGTGTGTGTTGGATGTGTATTTGCTTATATAATTCTGTTTGTCTGTACCAATGTATTTATATGCAGTTTTGTGTAATGCACATAGATTTTACTTTAATGCTTATAAATACTTCAAGTGGAATCAAGTTCCTTCCATTGAAAATCCAGTTAAAAATTTATGAGGCAGACTTTAGCATACAAGAAGGATTTTTGCTTTACACTTGCTTGGGTGTTTCAAAAAACGTAAAAGAAATATAACTGATTTGAGATTCACTCTCACCTAGTACGCTTAACCTCAAGGTATCATGTGTAAATTTCTTTTTACCCATGCACAATGAAGAATGCAATGCATTATTTTTTTAAGAGTTCTGCGTTCAATCTATCGAGCGCTGTGGATAAAAACTGTATTCTGATATCTTCGTTGTAGAAGTCCCACATCTGCATCATTCAATAAAAGAAATGACTGTCAGAAAATCATTACTGAGGATAGTCAAATAAGGCCTGTTTTGGACTATTTTGAATTTATTATTGGTGTAAAACTAATGACTGCTAGAAAATCATTACTGAGAATAATGAAATAAAATTGGCCTATTTTGAATTTATTATTGGTATAAAAGTAATGACTGTTAGAAAATCATTACTGAGAATAATGAAATAAAATCTTTGGCCTATTTTGAATTTATTATTGGTATAAAAGTAATGACTGTTAGAAAATCATTACTGAGAATAATGAAATAAAATCTTTGGCCTATTTTGAATTTATTATTGGTATAAAAGTAATGACTGTTAGAAAATCATTACTGAGAATAATGAAATAAAATCTTTGGCCTATTTTGAATTTATTATTGGTATAAAAGTAATGACTGTTAGAAAATCATTACTGAGAATAATGAAATAAAATCTTTGGCCTATTTTGAATTTATTATTGGTATAAAAGTAATGACTGTTAGAAAATCATTGCTGAGAATAATCAAATAAATTTTTTGGCCTATTTTGAATTTATTATTGGTATAAAAGTAATGACTGTTAGAAAATCATTACTGAGAATAATGAAATAAAATTGGCCTATTTTGAATTTATTATTGGTATAAAAGTAATGACTGTTAGAAAATCATTACTGAGAATAATGAAATAAAATCTTTGGCCTATTTTGAATTTATTATTGGTATAAAAGTAATGACTGTTAGAAAATCATTACTGAGAATAATCAAATAAATTTTTTGGCCTATTTTGAATTTATTATTGGTATAAAAGTAATGACTGTTAGAAAATCATTACTGAGAATAATCAAATAAATTTTTTGGCCTATTTTGAATTTATTATTGGTATAAAAGTAATGACTGTTAGAAAATCATTACTGAGAATAATCAAATAAATTTTTTGGCCTATTTTGAATTTATTATTAAAAGAATGATCGTCAGTTATTATTAATGTTTGACTAGTACATTTTGTTTCTTTTTTTTTAATCTTTTTACACCAAGCAAGCCAAAAAAGCTCCTAGTATACTGGGGTTACAGGGAGTGAAAGTGAGAGAAAAAAATGAGTATTGGTGGGGGGGGATTGAGGAAAGGACAAAAAATGAACGTGATTCAAGAAGATAGAAGATAGTGATTGATGTTGCATTTAAATTTTTGAAGATTGTAATTATCAGGGAAGCAAAAGAGTTCCACACGTAAGAAGTGCAAGAAAAGAAACTTGAAATAGTAGTGATGGCTCATTTAGCTACTTCAGTGTAAATGGGTGTGACCTAGTTCTTGATTTAGGGTAGTTGAGGAGTGTCATGATTGGGTGTTGAGAGGGTTGTTTTAAATTTGAGGCATAAGACAGCCAGATTGACTTAGATGTCTCATCTAGATAATTGGGAACACCCTCAATTGGAAACCAGAACAGACCGAGTTAAGCTTCCACAAACTAAACAAAGTATTAAGAAACAGGAAAATTTAATTAGAAAGGAGACATTTTTCTCCCCCCCCCCTTTTTTTTTTACAATGATGCTCACTCTCTATAAGGCCTGAGAGACACTTGAAGTGAAGGGTTACAGAGTAAAAGGCACAGTTTATACAGATATATAGGTGGATAATGGTTAACACTAGACTTGATCAGGTTGAGATTGTAATGATCGGGGAAGCATCATCTTGGAAGTTGGTACCGCAAAGCAGCAGTTCATTGGAAGAATCTTCTTGAGTGGAACTCAATGGAATATGATTTGTTACAATGTGTGTGGCATAGTGGGCCCGAGAATGTTAGAATTGGTGGAACTAATGAATGTAATTTGTCTGAGCATTTTCCATGGAAATAGCAATAAAGCAACAAGAAACTTGCAATGTTTTATCTGTGAGAAAGAGGTTGTAGGATTGAAAATAATTTATGAAATGCAAAGACACTTTTGCACTACCACCCAGGGGAGTGAAGAGTGAGTAGCTGCTGCCCATGTATGGCAACAATACTCCATTTTCAGCCTGATCTGGCTCTTGTAAAGATAGAGGATAGTATGAGGAGATAGATAGTTACTGGAGTGGTACAAGGAACAAACCATTTTTCCAGTATTTTTAGTGATGGATTATATGTACGAGTTACACTTGAGGTCTGTGTTGCATTAAAATATCTATAGGCGGTCAAAGCATGAGGCCTCCCTGAGGGAATATCCATTCATCATGATTGGTGACAGTCCTGGGTCTGATGGATGATCGAATGTAACTAATTTGGTTTTCGCAGCAATAACCAGCCAGTCCCCCCCCCCACATACACCAAGATGATAAAGCTTGGTTAGAGGAGAGATTAGCTTCCAATCTCTGTTTGAGGCAACAGAAAGATGGTTCTACAGAAGTTATTCTGGGAATACCATGGACAGAGCATATGAGAAAGTTTTTTAAAAAAATGGAAACAAAAAGGACACCGAGTATTTGAAAGTGTTTAAAATTTTGGAACAATTAAAGAGGAAAGAGAGCTTGGAGAATGTAACACTCACAGGACATATTGAAGAGGAACAGAAGGAAACATCAAATAGTTTACCTAACAAGCTTGTTTAAATGGTTGAGAGAACAGGGGCTGGGAAAGATAATAAGGAGACAAACACTGTTTAAAGTTACAAGGAATAGGGATTTGTAGCGAATCATGATCACCCACATCCTGAAAGGAAAAGGTACATAAGAGAATTTAATAATAATTTGTTCTAACCACTTTCACAAATCATCTTATTTATATTTACTTGTGTATTATATTACATATCAACATAAATATTCAGAAGTACTTTTAATTGGTTAAAGACAAAAGCATTCTTGTTTTTTACTCAAAAACCCAAATGAGATAAAATTTCTATCTACCTATGTTTATAAATATTTTTTTAAATGAAGAGCTGATTATAATTGCAACCACTTGTTTCAATGGTTTATAATCCATTCTTATTCATATTGAGTCAATAGTAAATACATGATTTGAAACATAGCCACTTGGTTGCTTAAAAACAGGAGGAAAGTGTTTTGATTTTACCTTTATAGATTTTCTGTCTTACTATAGATTTCCAATCCATGAGACATAAACTCTGTGAATGAGGTTATAAGAATGTGTATAAGAGAATATGTAAATGGTAGAAAATTACAGATTGAATAAAATCTAAAAGAGGAGGAAAAAGGTAAACAAAGAAAAAAGAAGGCAATTGCAGTTGGAAAAAAAACCATGCTAAAGAAATAAAAGTTATCAAGTAGAAGATGTAAGGAGAAGAAAGAAAAGAGAATTGAAAAAGAGAGAAATTTAGATAGTAAATGAAATAGAATAAAGAAAAAAAGAAAGTGAAAAAGCAGGTATTTGGATAGAATGTAAAAAGAGGGAGAAAAAGGATTGTTAGCAGTTTGAGAAAAAAAGAGACTAGGAGAAGAGGAGGAAAAGAGATAAAGAACAAAAAGAGGGGAAAAAGATACAACACATGAGCTGAATAATAAAAGAATAAAAAGAGTGAAAAACATAAAATTTGAAAAGGAAAGGAGGAAATGAATAAGAGGGGATTTCAGGAAATATGTGAATAAAAAAAAATAAGTGACAGAAGACAGATGGCTTCAAAGAATTTAGAAAAAGAGAAAAATAAAGGAAAAGAATGTAAGAGTAAAAAGAAAAAAAAACAACTGAATTAAAGGGAGGTAATAAAGTCCAATAGAAAATGATTTGATCAAAATTCAAATAGTTTAAAGCGAAATGGTGGCCAATCAAATAATTCAAAGAATACTCTCCTTTCTCCTATTGCTATAAGATAAAGAACTGGGAAGCTAAATTTTCTTTCTGCTTATAGATCCCACAAAATAGGAGCCAAATTCCATCATTGCCAAGATATTTCTTTTACTTTCTGTAAAAGTTTCCAGATTTTTAATGTGCTCTGTTGGCTCAGCTAACAGAAACTTAGTTCAGTTTGTTGCTTAAAAAGAATAAATCAATAATTTTCTAAGAACCCAATGACAGTGCAATAATATATCTTCATGTGTGGGTCTCATTTTACAGTTTTAATAATCATTCTGTTAATACAGGTTGTCCATAAAGTTAGTGTGCACTTTAAACTTATAAATTTTTTAAAGTGCATACGAACTTTATGGACACCCTGTATAATTTCATATATATGAAATTCTTTAGCACTACCCCATACAGAGATGAGAATGGGAAAAGAACAGGTTTATTGCCTGGATATCAAGACACAATTAGTAAAAGATGAAAAGACAGGGATGAAAGAGTATAAAAAATATAATATTATACACGTAACTTTTCAGCAACCTCTTGTATAGAGAAGATGAAGAGATGAGAACGGGAAAGGCAACAAGAAACCGGCTGGATATCATATGACAATAAGCATCAAATTTAAAGGCCAATAGTGAGGAAAAAAAAATGAAATAAGTTAAAATTTTTACCAGATAGAACAAAAGAAAGATAAAAGAGAGGACACAATAAAAGAAATATTTGTGTATTTCTAATTCATGTTTGGGTCAAATTTCAATAAAAATAATGATGTCCTCCATGATCAAGGGATTTGAGGCACAACAGATCAAACAATTACAGAGTGTGTCACAGAGGTCAAACAGAATTTTGCTGGGCTGTGATGCTTTCTGTGGGTGAATGCTCTGAGGCATACCTGATCTAATGGTGGTTTCTCTTATAAAAGAAGGACACAGGTTCAATCCCCATTGGAGACCACATTTTCTTTATTAAGTTTTTTCAAGTACACAGGTTGATAGACATAATACACACAGTTTAAAACTAAAAAAATGGGACGTCTATTTCAAACACCAATATTCACCATAAATAATGTTTGTAGTAATATATATGTATGTTTGTATTCTTTGTATCTGGAAAAGAATTTAATATCATTAGGGTTTGTTTGCTTCACAGCATATCAACTCCTTATGGGTCATGTTATGCGAAAATTTAATTTTCTTGGGAACATTAGTAATCACATTTACAAAAATGTATGGCTGGTAACTTTTTTTTTCCTAAAATGTATTGCTGGTATTTTTTACTATGAAAATGTATTTTTATATTTTCATAGTGTTTTCAAGTTTGGGGGTTAATTATTTGCTCATAGTTGGGACCCTAACAGGTACCACCACTCTGGGTCATGGTGGACCTGGGAACAATAGCAATTAAGAGGTGGTTCCATGCTCCACAAAACCTCCCAATCAGAGGCCTTGCTGCTGGATGTAGTTTATTGTTATACCTAGGATAGAATAAGCGTCTTTCTGAATATATGATATTAACAGAAACTATGTGGAAATTCAAGTCGCACAGGCAGATCAGGATATCAAAGATGAACAGAGTGTGTTGGTAAGTTAAAGGCTGATTTAAAATGTCTTAAGTTGCTTCATTGTACTATGTATATACTATTCAATGATAGTCAAGGTTTTCTCTAAGTGAGGAAGCAGTATTCTGCATTCAGTATAACAAAGGATTCCCTGAATGCAAAGTACTTAATGGAAATTCTATGTCTTGATTATTTTCCAAAGAAGATAATGTCTTGTCTTCCCTGGAATAAAAATGACTGCTGCTGATTTTCTCCATCTGTTGAAGAGTGATAAGACTTATCTAGAAATGTATGTTTTTTTTTTCCCTTTCTCTCTCTCTCTCTGTGCACATGTGGGTTTGTGATTGTAAATATTTGCTGAGGATTCATGGTGATTGGCAAGGAGCACAAGGCCATTTGTTATTGACAAAAAAGAAAAAAAATATTCTTAAACTGCTGGTCTTCATTGATTGCTGTGAATTGACACTGGATAATGATGGCGAAAAATAGGAAGATGTTAGCCATTACATGTGATTGATTTCAATCCACAGCTTCGGCCTACCTCAACACTGGTCTGCATTTTCCTTCTTTTGTTACAACATATGATCTTTGAAGCGTAGATTATTTAGGAAATGCAAAGCAAGGAAAAACTGGTGAAAAGTGTTATCATGGTCACTTTCCATCTGATAACACAATTTTTACTTTTATTTTAAACGATTAAATCATACTGAAAAATCTGGTATTAATTATAAAAATTAGAATAAAAATCTGATATTAATGATAGATTTCTAAAAATAAAAAATAGTATTAATTATAGTATCTGTCTATATTTCTGAGATGAGGTATTATTTACATTATTCGGACTATTGTCTTCATCTTTGTCGTCATATTTATCACAACGTTTCGGCCATTGTACACTCTGGCCTTCTTCATGTGGTTGGAATGGTGAACTGAACCCTTTATTTTGTTCACTGGGGTAAACTGTATTAGTTCCATGTGCCATGTTTTATGGATGTCAGTTATCAGTTATCCACATGGCGCAGTGGATAAAGACATTGGTTAGATCCAGTGACAGGACCCAAAGAGTGTGAGTTCAATACCCGGTTAAGGCAGTGGAGAACTTTCAGAGGGAAATTAACAGGAGATAACTGATAACTGACATCTATTAAACTATGACATGTGGTACTAGAACAGTCTACTCCAGTGAGTGAAATAATTTGGATTTTGTCAAGGAGCTTGAGATGAACAGTCAGGGCATCAGACCTGATATGGCAATAGTATTCAATGCATGGACAAATGGTAGATTTGTAAATGTGCAAGATAGACTCTGATGAGAAAAACTTTCTGGCATGACACAATGAACCAACTTTCCTAACAGTAGATGCAGCTATCAATTCAATGAAGTTATTTCATTCCAATTCAGTCAAACATCAGCCATGCTGAAGACAAGCAGTGAAGTATCTCTGTGGTGGTTAAATGGAAGCAGTTTAGTTTTGTAGCTATTAAAATTTACAACTCATTTCCAGCCCCAGTTGACCACTGATTGGAGGTCCATTTCAGGGGTAGAGTCCAGGTTAACTTTGTCAGTGCTAACAGATTTACTACTGAGACAGGCGTAACTGCATATATGCTACAGAAATAAAGAATAATTCATTTAATTATTTACTGACATCATCTAGATTTTCCTTGAACATAAGTGTACCATTCAATAATATATTTACCTTGGACATAAATATGCTATACATGTGAGAACAAGTCTGATTACAGAAGAGCTTTTATATTGTGGAACAGACTGCTGAGAGGATGTTTTCCTGATCATTAAAATCTTAACCTCTTCCAGTCTGGCTCAATCATTATCTATCATACATATTCTTACAATCTGCACTCATTTCCTTCCCATACATATATAGCAACCGCATCATGTAACCATCTATCTTGAGTGGCTCTCGCCATCTTCTGTTGTCTTGAACCCTGCTCATCTTTTATCCTTTCCTCAAAGTACCCAATCTTTTCTTTCACTTTCATTCGCTGTAACTACTGAGTATTAGTGGCACTGCTGCCTTGATTGGGGTGAATTATTTAAAAAAAAAATCTTCAGACATTTTTTGTATGCATGGGTTAAGCTGGTCTCCTTTTGGAAGAACCAGCAGCAGTCACTCATATTTGAGTTTGTCTTGCGATCAATATTCTATCTCAGATATGTTCAGGTGGAACCTCTCACCCTTATCATCTCTTATAGCATCCAGATCCACTGGGAACAAATTGAGAATGCATAAAGCATTTTTTAAGCAACATCCAGCATTCTGCTGGTGTGCTGTCAGATTGTTGTTTTCAATTAAATAACATGAATAAGGCTCAAATGGATACTAATATGATATTGTATTCAAAGCACACAGGTGTACAAATGAATTCTACCTTGCTAAAGAATATAGCTACTACTGATGCTTGATGAATGATTAGAGAGACAAAAAGTGTACATGAACAGTTAGGCAATGGTTAATGCAGTTCAGTTGTGACATCAGAAATATTTATTGAATGATCTCTATTTTGTATGCACTTTCATATCAGATACTATTTTGTCAAAAAATTGAAAAAATATTATCAGTTATTACACAGAAATTATAGAGCTGAGTTTAAATTCCAGTAAAGTTTGTTGTATACACATACATGCAAATACTCTTGGAAAGGTTTGAATTCATCTCCTCCTTCCAGCTATGGGTTAAATAGTAAAACTGATATCTGGAAATATAATTGTTATTCTCCAAAAAATTGTTAATGCAATATTTGCTCACGAATAAAGAATTATTCATATAATCCAAAATATTTTTGACTTTAAATATCCCACAAAAGGTTGATAAGTCATAAAAACATTTCATTATTAATGTTTTAACAGTAACCCTCTACATTTAGTGGCTTTTAACCCTTGTATTGATTGAATTTCATCATATAAAAATGGAGTTATTATTCTGTACTTGTGGCATTGTCAATGATTTTTCTCAGTGTGGGAAATAAAAATACATCCTCTGTTGTTATTCATATTAAGGTATGTTGATGGTTTCTTTCAAGGAATCGCATGTGCATCAGCAATTTTCCTTTAAACCTTAAACCCAGTGATTGACTGATTTTGTTTGTTTTTTACAGCTTATCAATCTTTTGTGGGTTATTTAAAGCTAGAAAATATTTTTAGATTGTAAGAATTTTTTTGAA